CTCACTCTCTCCAACACCCCCCCCCCCGCTCCAAAAAAACAACAAAAAACACCCCATATTATTCATACAGCTCTATGAGTTTGTAGGATATGAACATGCTGTCCGTCACCGTCACATTCTTTGTACTGTTTGTGAGGAGCAGCCTCACCAAATATCTGATGGTCTAGACTTGTCTTTGTTATCAAGATACATGTACATGCTTTGCAGAGCTTTACCTGCAGGTGTCTTTCATTGATTGAAGTATGCATTTAAGTGGAGCGAGCTGTTGTATGGTGTGCGTTTTGGCGGAGACTACTGTACAATGATGAATTTGATAGTGAGTTGAGAAAATGATATGAAAATACATTCTTTATGAATATTGAATGGTAAAGTCCAAGGAGCACAGCTCTATTGTACAGCGATGCCTTCCTGCAAGTTGAGACAGTAAAGTAATATTATAGGTGGGTTTTTTTTTTTTGGTTTTTTTTTTGGTAAGTGTTTTACAGCGGTCGCAACTGCATAAGGTCATATGAGCGCGTGGGACACACCTAATATTTTCAGTTGGTAGGAAATTTAGAATTTCGCCTGGGTAGTGGCCGAAGCTTACTCTTATCGATTTTAGATCACCAAGGGATCTTTAACATGCGCAATTGCACACGAGTCTTCTGAGAATTTTCACCCCTTGTCCGAGAAGATTAGGTGTAGATCTTTCCTACACAAAGATCAGGTGTGTGGCTGAAAGACAGCAGTAAGAAGAAGCCAAGGAGTAGCAGTGGAAAGGCTGCAGAGAGAGTCAGGAGCCCAGAGGAGGGGGCAAAGGAGGTGAGGGGGAGAAAGAGGAGACGAAAGCAGACGACAAAAGATAGCTACAGAGCAGGAAAGAGGTGAAAGGAGACAATTTTAGAGAACAACATTTTTTGGTCGCTACCCGGATTCGAACCTGGGACCTTTGAATGAGATGCCAACACCTTAACCTCTAGGCCACGAGAGCTCCCGAATATTACAGGGTTGTCAGCGAAATAATTATTTGTAAATTGCATAAAACCTTCTTTTGAGAAGAGATATATGAACAAAATATAAATAACAGATTACAGTAATACAAAAAACATGTGACACGAGTCAGACAGATATAAGTTGAGAATAAAGGACAATTACTTGATAAGAGGGTACTGGGCGGCCAAAGTGTTTTTTATCTTGTTTCCTGAACTGAGTGCTGGCGTATGAGTAAGTGCCTCTGATGTAGGGATTGTTGAACCATTTCGTTCTGAGGATGTAAATTATTTTATCAGTAAAAACAAGAACACTGACTCAAGTATGACTGATAGTTATTGGTCGCTTTTAAAGACAAGTGGGCTAACCTAGATTTCGGGGGTTTCCAGAAATCTTAACCAAACCAAAAGTGGACATTGCCCTACCTATAGGAGAAGTTTGGTGTCATTGGTGCGTATATTTGTTTGGTTATAGAGAAAACTCTTCTTGTTTTAAAAAAAACTGAACAAGGGGCAAAAACTTTACCTTCGATTTTCTCAAAACAGCATTTTTCAGGATAGCCCCCTTATGTTTAAAAGCGACCAATTAATCTTGTACGACCTAATCAGTATGATCTAGATCTTTGAGGAGGCAGGCTGCTCCATCTTTCCTTGTCAGGGCCAACTTGGGCTGAGTGAGATACAGCATTCCAGCAGACAGATGCAGATGTTCGAAGATATAATTTCCATTCTCAAAAATCGAACTTTCATCTTCTGCAAGCAACAACAAAAATTCTAACCATTGCACCCTAGATACAAATAACTGACCCAAGTAAAATAACGAAAAACACATAAAAAGAAAACCAAAAATCTTTGCACAATGTTAAAATCTTTCTCATCGATCATACTAGAAAATAACTATTACCAAGACAATAATGTGATAGAAATACTACTTTGTGAAGATTGTTTTCCTCAGCATGGCAATACTCATCTAACAATAAAAGAGAATAAAACTAGCCAAGCAAGTCCTCTCTTCCGTATTAAATGAAATATTATGGCATTGATTCATGCTATAGATGAAAGTAACTCTAAATTGATGCTGCTAAATGAAAAACTTTCAGATTTATGTTCACTGATAAAAAATCTTTTTGTTTATCAATAACAATTTCCAGGCAGAATGTCATAACTTCCATCCATACCTCTGCCATCATTTTTAAAAGTACAGTACATGCAGGTTTTATAATTTTACAGGAGAGCCAAAAAACTGAATGTTTGCAAGGAAAACAAAATCTTTGTACATTCAAAGTCAATATTTCTAAGAAGACAATTTTGATAGTAATTAACTTCCTCTTATCTTCAAAAGCAAACGTTTTCTTAATAACAACGTTCAGTTTGTTGACTCTCCTGTAAAATTGTAATAACTGCATGTACTGTACTTTAAAAAATGACAGAGGACCTGGAAACAACAGGCAATTTCTATGGTTTAAAATCAAATTGTTGGAACTAACAATCTAATCTGTAAACAACATCCTTGCTCCAGAAATGGTAGAACTGATATGTGCTACTAAAAAGAAACTTTAATAACAAGAAATCTGCTTGGAGCGAACTAATGAAGGCACTCTTGAAAATGGGTCGAATTAGTTACTGAAAACAAAAGTTATGCAGTAAACATTTGAAATCTTTCTTCAAGACTATTATTTCCCCAAACAGCTGTATTGGTCATCTTTTGTACAAGGTATAGCTATAAAGATACATCTTTTAATACATTTCCTGGGCAGAGGGTAGGCTTCTGTTACCATTTAAAAAAAGACACTGCTGGTAGATAATTTCCCATCTCCACTCAGTTACCAGTGTGTGTGTGCCCAGGTTACATGTGCCATTTCCTGGCCAGGAGACACTACGATGTTCTTGTTTCCACACTTGTGCAGGTTACTCAAATATTAACTATTCATAAACAGCCGGACAATGTTAAACTAAGAAGTGCTCACTTGATGTAGATTGAAAGTTAAACTGAAATTAAACGTTACAGAAGCAAAACTCCAATATTGGATTTACTAAAAATACTGTATATCATATTCTTGTAAGACAATACAAATAACATCAACATTTTAAAGGGAAAAAATACATTCCTACCTGTATATTGCCAGTGGATCAGGAACTGGAAAATCTTTGATGAATGCCCGCAGCACATCTGTACACACGGCCATGACCTCTTCATCTGAGAGGTCGTCACTCAGTTCAGTCTGTCAGAATAAAAAGATATAAGACAGATAAGTAGAAGTTTAAAAAAAATGAAATTCTGTTCTGCAATCTTTGACATGAAGTAGCAATGCAAAATGTACATGCTTTTTCATGCTAAGCCTTATTTACAAGGCAATACCCAAATCTGGGAGGTCAAAGAGGTGGGGGAACACATTTTGGAAAAGCTTATAAAGTTATCTTATTTTCTTACCACTCTTAAGATAAGATCAGATAAAATAAGATAGGATAGGACAGTGTATAGACAAAACAGGATAAGAAAAGAAAAGGAAAGAAAGAAAAGACAAAGCGAGACGAGATTAGATGACATAAGAAGAGATGAGATCAGATGATACTTGATACTTTTTTGTCCCTGTGGGAAAATTCCCATGGCGTTAAATAACCTCGTTGCCACTAAGCAGCACTGCATACCTTCCACAAGTCACTCCTATGCAACTTCTTTAGTTCCAGGACAATTTTGCAGTTGTCTTTTCCACTTGCTGAAAACTACAGCTAGCTAAGTTATCACAAACGAATAAAGGACGCAGAAATTTTCATGATGCCTTTCTCAAGACTGCATGATTTAAACCAACTAAAATTTGTATTGCCAATATTTTTCTCATGACATATGGTTTCATCCCTTTAAATATATAACAGTCATCATTGCACAGGTCTGAGAAAGAAAGAGAAAAAGAAATAAAGAAGGAAAAAAAGAAAGAAAGAAAGAAAAAAAGAAATGGTGCAAAGTATTTAAAGCACATCTTTTTGCACCTTAAGTGTTTTGCAGTGACCACTTGTGGTGTTAGTGGAGTGGCCTAATGGTTAAGCTCTTGGACTCAGCTAGGTGCCCTGTGTTGGGCTCTTGGGATGAGTACTTAACTCTTTAACCATGTCTGAACGGTGGCAGCGTTCGGTAGTCGAGGTCCGTAACTATGGCTGGGCGGTACCACCGTCCGATGTGAAGTTATTATTGTATTATGGTACGGGTTGAAAGTAACAAAGTATGAGCTGACAAGCCTTTAGTTTGACCCGGAAGTCAAAGACAAATTAATTCTACGTCTAGGTAACACTTTATTGATCAGTTTGATGCGAAACAAGCTTTTTAAAAAACGCAATTTGTCGTTTAGCATTTCCACAAACACTGGAAAATTACGCAGAAACGTGATTTTAAATTGCATGGTTAAAGAGTTAACTTCAGCATTGACGGGAGGGGAAGTAACAACAGACATGGTTAGTGTGTCATGATGACTGATGTCCCACACACCTACTCATCAAGTGTGATGTCAAGGGACATGACTCTTATCTTTACTGTGGGGACAAGATAATTAGGGGAGTGGCACGCCCTTGGATGACGTCAAGAGTCCGGCGCGAAATAGAGAGACATCGTCTGAGAGACTCACTGAGGTATTCAGTTGAACTCAGGACCACGACGAGGCAACACTTATCTTGGACGGGGGCCCCCTGACAGACCCGACTCATTGGACTGCCAGGTAACTTTACAATCAAGCTTCCCTCAGCATTTTATGGAGTTACACGTACCATGTAGGTTTATTGCGCATTAACTGGCTTTAAAAGATTGTATTTTTACCTGATGTATAACCCATGTCAAAATTTTACAGCAAAACATTTGACCGTATACCCGCAAAACATATCAATTCAGCAGTTGTATACTTGCAGTCTGGGGTAAAAAAGCACTTCTACTCAAGCGTATTTACATTCGAGTTGAGCTTAACATAACTGTTTGACTTAACAAACGTATAGAAAAAGAGGTGCTGGAACCAGAGAAAAAGATCACCTTACCGAAGATCATCTCATGCAACCTCAGCACAAGTGGAATCGACTGTACAAAGGAAATAAAAACCCTGAAGAGTCATATTTTGGTCATTATGAGAAATCTTAGCTTTAACACTCAAAACCTCAAATTTTTCAAAGGAGCGCTATACAAATGCCATTTATTACTGTCATCATTATTATTATTATCATTATGTCTTTCCAGATTCTGTTTATATTTGGTCGCTTTTAATGACAAGCGGGCTAACCCAGATTTCGGGGGATTCCAGAAATCTTGACCTACACTAAAAGTGGGCATTGCCCTACCTATAGGAGAAGTTTAGTTTCATTGGTGTGTATATTTGTTCGAGTATAGAGAAAACTTTCCTTCTATTTTAAAGAGACTGATTAAGGATCCAAAAACTTTAACTTCGATTTTCTCAAAACAGCATTTATCGGGATAACCCCCTTGTGCTTAAAAGCGACCATTTGGCCTACCTGCTCTGTGGTCAGCCACATCTCCAGGACCTTAGGGTGGCTGTACATCGTCTCCACACTATGAAAGCCATACCACCATGGGTGACCACTCTGAAGAGAACAAAAAAAATAGTGACGTTTAAAAGATTAGAATTCGATAAAAGTATCATATCTCCTTACTAATATTGCTAGAGATGCAATATCAATCCATATTAATTCCTTTTTTCTTATGGACATTAAATTAACTATAACCATTTCAGAGATATTAGGTATTTTTAGAAACCTGGAATTGCCACAGTGTACTCGTATGACAGCTTGCACTGTATGCTTCCAAGGAAGTTAAGATTTGTTTCAGAATACTATCAGGTCTGCTGGAGTAATAATATGTGTCATGACATGGTGGAATCAGGCGCTCGTCAATTTTTGGGCTTGTGGAGTTATTGGTATCATCTGAAAGCTGATTTATTTGCCTTGCTTCCAATGAAATGAATATCCATTTATCATGAATAGAATTCAAAATATTATTTGCAATTGAAGGAAGTGAGGTCGCCTGGTTTCAGTGGTGAAATTAGAGAGAAAATGACCACCAAATATCGGTAACTCTTATAGCTAATGAGTCTTTGAAAACTGAAAAATGACATGTTTTGTGCATTTAATCAATGTTTTTCAGAAAAATTCACATGGAAATGTGTTTTTATAAGGACCTAAGAGATGATAAGCCAAAAAATAAAAATACGATAAAAATTTCCAAACTGGCGGAAAAATAACTCATTCCTTTCATCGAAAGGGGGCTCTCCAATTTTGTTATTTTGATGAGCACCCGATTTCATCACACTGCCTCATATAGATTGTAAAGCCCTTACAGCTCGTTGTCGGGTGGGAATTGGCACTATAAAAATATTATTTCCTATCCTTATTATGCCTACTGTAAACTGGATTTACTGTGTAATGTAAGGACGTACACACTTCTACATCAGCTGGGACCAGAGAAAGCAGAATATAGATAATTATCTACCTTTGTACCAGTTTTCACTTTTCTATGCTCTCATTGTTGCTGGTCCCCATATAGTCTGCCTGTATCTTTTCTAATTCCTTTTCATCCCTATTAAACAGAGACAGAGAGAGAAAGACAGAGTGAGACTAGCGAGAGAGAGAGAGAGAAGGAGGATTACTATAGGAGCTGTGCGCTTCATATGTTCTTTGTATTATTGTACAGCGCATTGAGCGCTTCTTTGTGGAAATGCGCTATATAAATGCAATTTATTATCATTATTATTAATTTCTTTACTTTGTATTGTACGTTGAAATGAAAGAAAATCCTTTCATTTTTCTTTTCTCTCAAATATAAAACAGGAATTGATTTACTTGTACCTTGGTTTTCCTTTTACTTTTGTCACTTTGGATGGTCGGTAAATGAGAATCCAGCCAGAGCAACTCGTATGACTCAAAGTAGTTGTCTTGCGTTGACTCTCTGTAGTCTTCCCAAAAAGCTTCCTCAAACTGCAGAAAAATCTAGAGAAAAGGAAATAATAAATTCTTATCTTTTCCTGTGTGTGAAAAGAATACAAAATGGATAAAAATTAAGAAACCAGAAAGCGTTATTCTGTGTATAACCAAATGTGCACTGAGAAAAACTCTCATCAGTACTTGAAAATCTCCCCTATCATTACAAAATCTCTTACTCACTCTATTTCTATTCTTCTCCTGGTTTTACACTCACATAAATACACTCTCAAAAGTTCATATGCACACAAACACTACAAAATATTCTGCAAACATTCACTTACATGTTCGACATATACCTTTGAATTTGATACACATTCACGTATATGATGAACTACAACACTAAAACCATTCAAATAACAGCATCAAAATGCTACACAAACACAGACAAAATATTACAAACACACATTTCACCTACACACATTCAAAATATCACTTAAACATGAATACACTACACAAGCCCTCCAAAACTCAAAATGTGAAACAAAATCATATGTCTCCACTGCTCTCAAACATCTCAAAGATATTGCAAATACATGAAGACACATTTTCTCTCCCCCCCCCCCCCCCCTTGTTTTAAGATACATCTTTATTGTCCAGATCCTGGCACATTGGTTTGGTGTTTCACCACGTGTACACACACACACACACACACACACACACACACACACGCATACACACACGCGCACACACATGCGCACACACGTAGGCTTACAATCACATGCATAATATAAATGAGCAGCAATATAAACAACTAGCTGGGCCCCCTTTCGATGAAAGGAATGATCGGTGCATTAACGTCAGCCGAAAGTGATTGGCTTATGTCTATGATATTTACATTCTACTGGTATGGAGCAATAAATCTTGAGAGTTGCACAAATTAGAAGGTTTCGATCTATACTCTTAAAACAGTGCGCACGGTTAGTGAACGGAAACCTCCTTTTCTAAATTACAGAGACAGAAGCGTCAGCCTAAAAAAGCGATTGGCGAAATACAGAAATTTAGCTTTTTACAGCAAAACTGTCTCAAAACTGAAAAAAACGAAGGGCGTCATGATCTGGAGAGTATTTTATAGAATCTTTTGGCGAAAACTGCATGTCAATCGATGCAGCCATTAAAAAGCTTTTTGCTAGATACACACTCAATGTTATTTTGACCCATGCTCTAAGGTCGTAAGTATACTTATAATGATGGAAGCATTTTGATAGATGATGGTAAAAATTACCTTCTATATATCTTTCTTTGTTACAGATCAGAAGCCTAGGTCTTTTACTTCTGACTGATGTTTTTATTTGAGGGAACAAGGGATGTTTGTTGTCTAAAAAGATGGAATTTATTTTTTCAGTGCAAGCTGTTATATACAATTCATCCTAGTAGGGGAATGTAGATGTTGAAATTTTACGTGCTTTCCGTATTAGTCGATTTAATTTGTCTTTATTTTGTTGTCTTGTGTTCCCAGCCCATGCTGTTATACAAATATTGATCATACTTTCTATGGTTGAATGGGAGAACATGGACATCAATGTTTTATCAACTTTAAAATACTTCAGCTTCCTTAGAAAAAATAGTCTTTTGTTCACTTTTTTTATGCAGGAGAGAAGTGTGGGACACTCCAGTTGAGTTTGTTGTCTATTGTAACACCCAAATACTTATAGTCTGACACACACTTGCTCGATGTTTTCACATCTAATTTCGAGTGGCTGCAGGGGCAGTTTCTTTATTCTAAAATCAACAAGTTCTTTTGTTTTTTTCACATTTAAAAGCAGCCTATGATTTTCACAACGTTCAAAAAAGTTAAGTACAAAATTCCGGTAAGCGGTTCTGTTATGGTCAGCCTGAATTAGCCCAATTACGGTTGAATCATCTGCAAATATTATCAACTTGATGTTACTGTTGTTTATTTGGCAATCGTTCATGCATAGTGTGAATAAAACTGGTGACGAAACACATCCTTGAGGGGCCCCTGTATTTGTTGTGATGTATGTCGATGATGAATGTTTTAATTTTACATACTGGGTTCGGTTGGTAAGAAAATTGTCTATCCATGATATTTAATTGACGTTAACACCTATGTTTTCTAATTTCTTTAAAAAGATAGCTGGCTGGATAGTAATAAAGGCTGACGAAAAATCAACAAACAGGATCTTACAGTAAGTTTTTGGCTTGTCTAAGTGTCTATATATGTTGTCAAGAAATAGTAGAATGGCGTCTTCCTCACTTCTCCCGGGACGATATGCGAATTGTAGAGGGTCCTGGACGGGTCCTATGTATGTTCGTAGTCTTTTTAGCACAATTTTTTTCTGACATTTTATAACTACGGGTGTTAAGGCTATTGGCCTTAGGTCATTCATTTCAGTAATTTTTTCTTTTTGATAATATAGGTGTAAATAAAACTAAGTCGCGCTGAACACATTTTCAGAATTTTGGTTGCACAGCGTCTGGACCACACGCCTTTCTCACATTCACAGCATAAAACACATGGAAAATACCAGGAATACATGCACACACTACACAAAACACATGCCCAGTTAAAACTTGTTCTACTACAAGTGCCAGATCTTAAACGGACATCAGCTCTCATGTGTTGCCACTCATTTCCCTGTTTTGAAGCCCTACCCCCCCCCCCCCCCCCATATTACGTGGTGGTCTTTTGTTCCTGTTGCCATCTGTCCCAGTTTTTATATAAGTTATTTTTGGTCTACTTTTGCCTCTCTTGCCTCATTTAGAATAATATAATTGAAATAAACTGACCTTTCCGATTAATCCAAAGCCAGTGTGTTCTACAGCCTCCTGTACTGGCACGGGTAACAACGGCTGAAAAAGAGTCTTGTGTGTGGCCTTCAGACAACCGATGCTGATGGTGACAATCACATGGTCTGCCTCTATAGTGTTTCCATTCTCACAAGTGACACGTACGGGTTTGGATCCAGATGACTGTATTGGATTGTCAGTCTGAAGGAGATTCATTAAAGAAAAAAATCAATAAGGCTACATAGCTGCATTTTCAAAAAACTAATAGATAACGCTGACAGACAACATTTGTCATTTGATACTGAGAGGCATTCTGCTGAACAATAAATAGGCGCACAGGTGTTTGTGGAAAGGCAAAATAAAAATAACTGAAAATCACTTAGATTTATAGGCTAACAACACGTCTGATTTTGACAGTGTATTGTTGGTCCCAGTAATTTGCTATTCCACAGGGAACAAAGTAAGTTAATGAAAGGGTAGGCAGCTGAACGTTCTAATTTGGATTAAAATTATGGATTTTGAGATGTGGGCATGTTTGGTTGTTTTTTTTCAGACTCTCTTACAACTATTTCATCACATAAGAACACACTTAACCTTTATTTATTTTGTCACATATTAGGCACGTTAGTCACGACCATCCTCATACAGACCCTCCTTTTTTTCTCGAAACCCTGTTTTTCCTTTATACGTTTTAGTAACTCTGCCATTTTTCCTCCAATCTTCATGAAACTTCTGCAGAATGAAGAGAAGAAACTAACACTAAAAAATGCGTCGTTGAATTTTCCATAAGGAACAGATTTTTGTTAGTGGTGTCTTGAGTTTGAATGTTCACAGATTTTTTGCAGTGTTGAATACAATCTCAAGAAAGAATTAATTAAAAATAGTCTCTTTTGTTTTGGAAAAATTGTTTAAACAATTTTTTAAAGAACTATTGTGTCTTAACATGCATGCAAAATTATAACATATTTCCAATTAAAATAAGTGAGATATTAACTGTATAAGATACATAAACAAAATCCAATATGACTACCATCTCCATGCCAATTAAACTTTTTCCTAAAATTTTATTGCGTATTTGAAGATCCATAATGCTTGTTATATGTGTGAAATGTGATAAAATTTGGTCTACAAATAAAATATAGTCAGTGGTTAGTGGAACTTACTCACTGAAAACAGATGGACATACTAGCATGAACATAAGTCTATGCCAGCACAAAACTTATTTATTGTCTATTAATTTGCTACAGAGCGAGAGCAACTGGTTAACTAGCACAGACGTGCAGTATGTTCAACACTCTCTAAAATTATCTAGCTACTGCAGTATTCTTTAACCTTCTGTTATCTCTGTAGACATAAATCAAAACAAAGCTTAATGCAAAATACATAGGTTACAGCAAAAATATATGCTAAGGATGTGGACTTTTCTGTTACAATAGTCAATATTTTTTGCATTGTTGAAAATTAGCAGTTTCCACAACACAATTAAATGTTTTGTAGTTGTTTTATTTAAAATAAAGAAGGGATGTTTACCCCAAAACCTAATAATTCGGAACCTTGATCGATTAGCCAGCCTTACGGAAGGAACTAGGATAACGAAACTGTACAAGCGAAGAATATAAATTGTAAAGGGCAGTTGAGCAGGAACTTGTGCTATGCATATAATATCTATCTATTAAAAAGAAAAAACCCCTGGAAAAGCACAAACATTTTAATGAATCAGATTTCTGGAAACCACTAGTATCAAAGTACATCCAGCCTGGCAGAGTTATTTTGTTTGGAGTCAAGGGCATTTCTAGCAAGAAGCAAATATAACTACAATAAAAAGATAACTGGCTCTTGCACTCACTTCTTCACCAGTCCAGTCAATGCGAGAGACTGGTGTATTCAGCTGGACAACTCCTGGGGGCAGCTGTTCTGCCAGAGTGGCCACCAGACCCGACATCCCGTTGTCCACATCCGTGAAGCGATCTCCAGGCAAGACGACATACTCGGAATCACAAGATAACAGGCTGAGGTCATCGGTGGCGTTGTCTACTTGGATGTACTTGCTGAACCATCTGATAAACACAGGTGTTTGTTGGATTGAGGATTTATTTAACAGTACTATTAACAAAATTTAGTCATGTACAAGCCAGAGTCAGGTGTGAGGGTAAAGACAACAGCAAAATTTTGTTAGAGTCAAAGTATCAACTATTTCTGTGGCAAGCAGACAAAGGAGTTACTTTTCGGGTTTAACCTACGAAGATAGATGTAAAATTTACAAATAGTGTTTGCATGATTGATAAATATAATGTGAGAAATGACACGTTGTATTTGAAGAATATGGTATCAATAAAAAATATACAAATTTGACTGCAGTGTTGACTTTGGGCGAATATCTCAATTCATGGATTGCTTGAATTACTCATTTTGTCAGCATGCCTCACATTTAGTTGTCTGGAGCAGAGACATGGGGATAAGGAAGAACTGCTGAGAGGAAGCTCAAAAACACCATCAATGAATGCTAGAAACAGAATTTAAGTATATGATTTAGTTTAGTTTCGTAGGAGTTCTGTTGCATTCGTGACTGCAAAGGTCATATGAGCACACTGGACTCAAGTGCCTGATTTCAGGTGCAAAATTGGAATGGTGGAAATGGGTTTTTTTTTCCTTCACAAAAAATAACAACAATACTTTATATCTTAAAAATAAAATCTGTTTAAATGTTGCATTAAGACCAATTGGCCTCATACAATCAAGTATTTTGTAGGATCAAAGAGAGAGAACAACTTTCTTAGATGACTGCATTCGAAATATTTTCTTCCCTCTTATCCAAAATCTGGACATTCTATTACGATATGCATCATCAGGCTGGCACCATGTTCAACACAAAAAGCTTCTTCATATTCCTGTAGGAAATAGCTGTGTGTCAGAGAGACGTGTGTCCAATATTTAATCTTGTTAACACAACTATATCTTTCCTGAAGAGAGAGACCCAAAGTTTTTCGCAGGCCCAATTTGGGCATGATCTGAAGTAGTTTGTAGTCCTGCTGTTTACTTCACTGTTTGTCTCACAGACAGGAAGTGAATGATTTAATTACACTAGCACAGAGTAACTATCAGAGAAAGAAAGAAAAGAGGAAGATGAAAAGACTCACAGGAGATAACAATGGATTGGATAAACCTTCAGGTAAATCCATTGTGTCCTGAGTTGCCTACTACTTACTGACACACACACAGTTAAAGACTAAAAACAAAACAGTGACATAATTACAAAAAATGGTTATTAGTTATGATCTATGCTTCAAAAGAAAGAGAGAGATAGAGGCTGTGGGGAAAGAGAGGGGGTGTTGAGAGAGAGATAAAGAGATAGGGAGGGAGAGAGGGAACGATAGACAGAAAAACAGAATAGAGAATACCAGTTTAATTTGTTGCGGGCTGACATTACAAAAAACAAAAAAAAACAAAAAAAAACCCCACCAGATACCCCAGCTGCTGAAATAGTGTTCATATAGTTATTAATTAAAATCTAAAAAGAAATTAATGTTATGCAAATGTAATGAAACAGATATATATGAAAAAAAAAAAAAAGAAATTACTCTAAAGTAGGCCTTCAGTCAACCAAAAGTGAAGGGTGAGAAAATAGAATTTAAAGGAGTCATGTAAGTGTGTTTGGGGACGGGAGCGGGACATGAGAGATAGCAGTTGAGGACAAATAGGATATGAGATAACCCATGAAAGATAGGTAGACATCGGTCTCTGATGTGCAATTCACATTTTGAGTTAAACTTGGATCCGGCATTAAGTAAAAATTCTGAATGCAGTGTTGAGACAAATCACAGGAAATGGGAGATCCCTGGAAGTGACCTAAAAGAGAAATTATCCTGATTATTCATTTACTTATCCATTTATTTATTTGTTCATCTATTAAAAGTCAGTGTACGCATATAACTCTTCATATCATATCATCCAGCTTGAGCAAAAATCTGACATCAGACCAGGGAAAACATAAGTCTAATTTTTTGTACACATTGTGACAACCAAAACAAGTACTGGATTAGGTAAGTAGGCCTACCTGTAGGCAGCTTCATAGACTTCCTTCTTGGCAGGATTTATCTTTCCTTCGTTGTCAGAGAGAAATTTGGAGTAGACACTTTCGAGAGCTTCCTGCACTGATTTACCATTTCCTGAAGAAGTTTTTTCAAACAAATATACTCAAACAGAGTCAAAAATCTTTTTCTAAAATTCTATTTCATAAATTAGAATCTGGTAGCATATGTGTCATGGCATGATGGAATCAGGCACTCATCAATTTTAGGGCTTACGCAATTATTGATATCATTTTTCATTCATTTTTCTTTGTTTTAGTAGAGGTTTTACGGCGCTCGAAACTGCATAAGGTCATACGAGCGCTAGAAGATTAGTGTTACAAGAGAGTAACAAACATAAAAAAGAAGGAGGTGAGATAAAGACGATAGATGTTTGATAGGAAAGAAGAAGCAAACCACACCAGAGCATCCGCCAACAACCCATTTTTCTAACTTTTGTTAAAAGAAATACCTATCTGTCCTGAACAAAAATTGTGATCTTTGTAATTGTAGGAGGTGAAGGTCATTGATGTCAGAGGTAAAATTAATCAGAAAATAGTAGCCAAAACTTGGTGATTTTAAAGTTTAAGTGTCCTTGAAAACGACAAATTCATATTTTTTATGCCTTTAATCAAAATATAAAAAAAAATCAATGCTGGGATGTGTTTTTAGATGGACATGAAAAGGTGTAGCGCTCAATACAAAAAAACTCTATAAAATTTCCCCCACTGGGAAGAAAAATGTGAGTTTGTTCGATTTCATTACACTTTACACATTGTGATGAGAGTTTGATTTCACCAAAATGTCACACATACGGGTATAATTTTGTTTTTTCAACAGGCAAACTGCATCCTCTTAGTAAATATGCATTGGAGACCGGTGACTCATACATGAAACAAGGTAAAAAGCACCAGCTACAAAAACAACACATTCACTGCTTGCATATCATACAATGTACTGAATATCGATTAATGGTCAAAAGGGCTGTTTAAAGGGGGAATGGGGATGAGGATGTTTTATAACAGTAAGAGTTTTGTGGCACTGGCAATACAATTAGGTCATATAATTGTCGAAGATCAGTTTTAGTTTTAGTAGAGGTTCTACGGCGCTCGCAGCTGCATAAGGTCATATGAACATTAGAGGGGTTACTTATACAAGAGGGTAACAAACAAAAAAGAAGGAGGAGAGATCAGATACAGACAATAAATTATGTTTGATAAGAAAGAAGGAGCAAACAATGCCAAAGCACCCACAACAGGTTTTTACAACATTTAATCGTTAAAGTTCCTCAATTCAAAGTAGCTAAATGCAGTCCTCACGTCTCTGTGTTTTTCTTACCATCTGTAGGCTCCTCTTCCACAACTTCATCAAGTAAAGGAATTAGATCATTCACTTCATCCCTTTGAATCTGTGGATAAAAAGACAAACAAACAATTCAGTGAATGAAATGATGAGGAGTTAGTCTATAAAAAAAAAAATCAAAGTCAAATGCTTAAAAGAACTCAAAGAACTGGAAACATGAGCAGAAAAAAAAAAATATGCTAGTATCACTTGTCCAAGTATTTGGATAAAACTTACGAGAAAAGTTTTAAAGTGTGACAATTTTGTGAAACAAAGATAACAATATGACAAGAACAAATGACATTTATTTAGCGCCTAATTCCTAGAAGGCTCTGAGAGCTGTACAAAGCAGAATTATTATTCAATACAACTGACTTATCAAAAGACAGAAAATCTAAATTGAGAGACTATTTAACAACAACAAAACCCAAACACACATTCACACGTACACACACACAAATACACTCATTCACTCAGACTAACAAACACAAAAAACAAAAACAACACCACAAATACACACACTAACACACTCATACACTAACACAAAAACACAGACATCCTAGGCCCACACATTTACGCACACACACACACAAACAAACAATACTGTTGCACAAAGATGTGGGGAGGTCACACGTTACTACTCTCCATGATTCACCTTGTGCCCAGAAGAAGTGTAAAAGATGTTGCCAGGGTTGGTCAAAGATTCCTCCCTTGGGTTGATAGACACCGCAAAGGGAATTCTCTTCAACTTGGCTGCAATCTCATACACAGGATTCCCAGTTCTGCCGTGAATGAACTGAGCACCTAAGTCTGCAGGACTGCCATCTGAAAAGGAAAGTTAATGATAATAAATTGATTAATTGCTTTCATATTGACCATTTTCATTTCAATGAGATGCTTTAATGTGCATTACAGTAAATTCTGTCCCCATTGTTTTAAGCACCCTGCATAATTTAGCAAAATTTGATCATTTTTTTGCATAATTTCTGATTATTTTCCTCTGTCATTCTTTGATAAAATTAACAGAATCACAAAACTTCACATTTTTGGGCTCAGTTTGCATAATTTCAGAATTTTTTTTGCAGAGTAATAGGTAAGGTAGACACACGTACAATCAAGAAGATTTTTAAGATAAACTTTCACTAAAAAGATAGCTAAAAAGTTTGACATACTGGTACACTGATAAAAATCCACTATTACAATAAACAGAAGGAGACTAGTGTAGGAAGCTCTGTGGTTTCAAAAATTGCAAGTGTTTAACACCCTCATCAACGTAAATTGAGACCATTTGGGAGGCAGGTAGCTTTGACCCTGGGTGACTTTTAGGACCAACACTGGCTGAATGGGATGCAGTTTTTGAGCAGACAGATGGAGATTCTCAATTTTATTTTTTTTTAAAACACCCAAAAACGTACACATCTGAGAATCAAACTCATATCTTTTTTTAGCAATAGCAAAGAGCCAAACCCCTAAGCCATAGAAGCCTTGATGACCATATATTCTAGATCAGAAACTTTAACTAGAGCTGAGAAAAACACATTATCTATGCCCTAGTAATCTCACGAGTAAGCTTAATAACTATAAAGGGTAAGGCAATATTCCCTATGCACTATAACTACCCGCCATGATTCATTACTAAATCAGCTACACAACTGTAACAGGTGTCAACTGTAACAGGTGTCTGTATATACAGTGCTTAACTCAGAACCTCATGAAATCACAAGAAAACGGCTCTGTTTTCCTGTCTGTGTATCATTTGGAAGAAACGTAATAACCCCTCTCCCACCCCAGATAGTAGACTACTTAAAAGGAAAGTTAATATAGCTTAAAACACGAAACATAAAATGATGGCCTCCTCTGCTCCAAAATCATAATATTGCAGGTGTCATGGACATATTGCTCATTGACAACCCATCTATATATCTAAAAAACAAAAAAGTTACAACAAACCAAACAACCAAAGAATAATATATAACAACCAACATCCCTCTAAAAAAAAGGAAGCACCCCCACTTGCGCGCCAGAGCGAAAATGAAAGCAAAAGTAAAAATGTTACCACCACACAGCACTTCCGTCAGGAGAGCATCAAGCCCCATATGACAGACGTGACCCCCACAACGGCTGCACAATTGGCGGCAAACAGAATTCGGTTCAACCGTTGAGCTCTCGACGAACTGCTCGTTCTGAACCCCACGGAACCGCCCGGCTGTCCGGGAATTCCCGAAGAGAAGCTTCTGTCATTTCTACCGTCTGCAGTTTGTGACGCCATCTTGAATAATTCATTTTCTGCTGTTTTCACGCTCTGACTTTGGTACGGAGTTGTGATTGGTTGGTTTGGGGAGATGTCGTGCGTCATCCGATGTGTGGGCGGGGCTTCCGCTTGCTCTTGTTCCGCCCTGTGCATGATGAGGACTAGAGCTGTTCCCACCACCCCGAGGAACGCTTGCGTCAACATGGCCGCCACGTACACCACTGTGAGGGAGAAGGAGAGAGAAAAAAAAGGGATGATGAAGTGTTGGTGGCTAGCTAGGTCGATAAAGTGAATGAAATACAGTGAAACTCGGATATAACGAAGTCGTCGAGCCTGACCTTCGATTTAGTCGAATCCGAGTGTTCGTTACAGCAACAAGTTTAGTGAAGCTCTCGCGGCCTTGGGGTTAAGGTGTTCGCTACTCATTCAAAGGTCTCGGGTTCAAATCCGGGCAGCGACGTTCTCTCTTTTTACCTCTTTTCCTGCTCTCTGGCAATGTTCTGTCGTCTACTGTCGTCTCAATTTCCTGCCCCCCCCCTCACCTCCTTTGCCCCCCTCCTCTGGGCTTCTGATTTATTCTGCAGCATTTCTACTGCTACTCCTTGGCTCCTTCGTACTGTTGTCTTTTAGCCACACCCTTGGTCTTCTGGTAGGAAAGATCTATACCTAGCCTTCTCGGACAAGGGCGAAAAATCTCGAAGGTCCCGTGTGCAAGTTGCGCCATCCGTGCAAAATTCAAAATTTCCTACCAACTGAAAAAGTTTGATGTGTCCCGCGAGCGCATGTGACAATTTGCAGTTTCGAGTGCCGCAAAACACTTACCAAAAAAAGACCATTGAGTGGATGGGCCTGGTTCCAGTTTCCACACGGGGCGTTGTAAACATATTAACCCTATCCGTACGCCCTGGGATCATTTTGTACCTCCGGGGTTGTATTCTTCACATTTTAGAATACTTCTTGTACATGTACGAAGATCCCTTTGAAAATTTCAGCATTTTTCAAAAAATCATTTTGACAGACTGCTATGCAAAGCGTACGGATCGGATTAACGAGTAAAATTCCTCTTTGGAAAGTGGTGGCACAGAGTTCCCTACGTCGTATGGATACGATAGTAAAACCCGACTACGGATAGGGTATACTCTTTTGCCTGGGGAGATGTTAAGGCTCTCCACTCACATAGCTCGGTCCTATCGGAGAGGGACATTATACTACGTTTAATTCGGATGACCCGTCTCTTATTAATAGCCATACAGTGTTGACAGGGGCGTAAAACCAATACAGACAATTTCGCTTTACCACCACCACAACCGCTGCCAGCACCACCAACACCAACACCAACTACCACTACAACCAACATCACAACCACAACTACTATCACCACCACCACCACCACCACCACCACCATCAACAACAACAACAACAACAACAACAACAACAACAACAACAACAACCACCACCACCCCCAACAACAGCAATAACAACAACAAGAGAGGCGGTGGACCTGGCGAAGAGTAAGCTCTTCGGGACTCCAAACATTTCGAACGGATGGGCTACCACACACAACAACAGCAACGACAACAACAACAACAGTAACAACCACAACCACCACCAT